AAACCAAGTCCATTATCCACTGACTTAGCTTTCGTATATATCATTTAATACTTAGACAAAACACAGAAATTCTCAGAAGTGTGTTTAGCTAATTAAATTAGTGACACTGGAAACTCAGAATGCGCAGTAAAATCGACTTTTCCTTTTGTGAGAGCAAACGATACCCTTAATCTTAATAAGGTCTTAACTCCATTATTTATTAGTCATTTTGAAGGTTTTTGCCCCTCAAATTCCATAAACACTTCTAGCTCAATAACGCAAACATTAATAGTCTAATCAATCAGCTGCACTGTCCAGCAGTCAGTATATTAATTAGCTAAGATAAGGGTTCAGAGAGAAGCACTCTAGGATTGGCAGCCGGCATAGCCGGCAGGGAAGCACCTGCCTCCATGTGCGGGTCTGTGGACTTGGCCCCGCACCACATCCAGAAGCAGCGCACACTATTGTAAACACTCCTGTCTGCAGTAGGCACAATCATGGTACCCTCAAAAATGGTGATGACGTTATTTCCACGGCCCTGCAAATATGCCGCCTCACATGGGGAAAAGGCCGCTATAGATGTAATTCAGCTAACGGTTCTAAAGTAGAGGCTTATTCGGGGGAGCCCAATATCATTTCAAGATTCCTCACAAGGCAAAAAGGATGTTAGAGGAAGTCAGAGAGCCCAAGACAAAGGTCAGAGTGAAAGGAACCCTTCGCAAGGAAGCGTCCAGAAGAAGTGAAGTTATCTCTGGAGACATTCCGAGGAGCAGAGCCTGATTTAATGTCAGTGAACCTGACCTTAGGCTCTGCCCCAAAAGTAGCAAGACAATAAATGTGTGTTGTCCTCAAACACCAAGCCTGTGGCAGTGGGTACGGTTGAGGATGGAGACAGCTTCATGTCATCCGTACGAGACAATGATGAGTGTCTCAGCAAAGCTGTCTGAGAGAAGGTGCTCGTAAGACCACTCATGCTCCTGGATCATAAATCAGTTACGTGCTCTTCCTCAAGGGCCCAAGACAGACAGACAGACATAACAGACAGACAGACAGTCCTAGAGGTGAGTTCCATGCAACCCCAACAGTGGTCCTAAGTAGGGTAGTTCTCATTCATGTTTGACATTCCCTGCCTTTTCAGTAAATAATAGTTTTTTTCCCCTCAGTGGAAACAAATTAGATAACTTCTAGCTATTTGTCTTAAAATGTGGATTTTTCACAGCGGTATCATCATATGTTAGATCACTGAAACATGTTCATTTTGTTAACATAAAAAGAACTTTTTGTCTTGTGTTTCCACGACCACTCCAGGTTCTGGAAACTATAAGTTTCACGATATTAGAAGAATCGTAAGTGACAATACTTTTCTTTCAGTTTTGACTTATTTCGTTAAGCACCCCCCACACATATTTATATACACACATATGCATGATAGACCTTATGTAAATGCACCTTGTACGTGATATATATGACATACATGTATACATGTCACGTGTGTGATTTTTATGAATGATCATGGAGCATAATATACCAGAAATAAAACTATAGTTAGTATTAGATTGATGGTGTCATACACTTGGAATTTGCTAAGAAGGCAGATCGTGTGTGCATGTGTATGCACACATGTACGTGTGTCAGAGTGATCCAGAACTCTCTATTTCCACCATGTGGATCACAGGGATTAGGGAATCAGGCCTTGTCACAAGCACCTTTACCTGCTTTACTGGCCTCTTTACTATATTTATATTTGTTAATTGTAATTCATTAACACTAACAAAATGAAATTTTTGCATTAACAGTTTAAAATCCAGTGTCACCCTCAGGAGTTAAGTTCCTACTTACTTATTTCGTATTTATACGAATCCAAACAGAACACATTTTGGGACAGTAACAAGAAAAATAAGCTTGGCAGATGCATATTGCTATCACAATTGTGTCATAGATTTCACAAAGCCCAGCACTCTTTTTGGAACCTATTACCCATGCATGGATGCCCTGCCCACCCTTGATGCAGGAAGACGAGCTTGGTTCTGCTGCAAAGTGATATCCCATGCTTTGTTGGCTCCCATGGGAGGCCTGCCCCTTTCTGAACAGATGTGAGTGGATGGGGCAATAGACAGGAGTAGGGAGGAGAGACTGTGGTTGGAATGTAAAATAAATGAAAACATTAATAATAGGGGATAAAAAGGTAACCCAGCACTCAGGAGGCAGAGGAAGGTGGATCTCAGTGAGTTCGAGGCCAGCCTGGTCTACAGTGTGAGTTCTAGGATAGCCAGGGCTACACAGGGAAACCCTGTCTTGAAAACAAACAATTAAAAAGGCTTGTCTGATTGTATTCTGGGTAGTCATGGTCTCAGATCAGATTATGTGTAGATTTGAACAGTTTTTCCTCTTTCTTCTAAGCATGGCACGATGACACCAGCAACACACATTATAGAAACTGTTCATCCCGAAGCATTTCAAAGGCACGTGGCCTAGACACCACTGTGACACACTGCTCGCTTTATGACATGTTAGTGCAGCCTGGGCTCTTCACTATCTGATCCTTGACTGAGAAATACTGCAAACCTCTGACTTTTCTCTCTCTTTCCCTCCTCTCCTCCCAATCCCCATCCCTGTCTTCTTGTTTGTTTGTTTGTTTTGGACCCAGGGTCTCGCTATGTTGTAACAGCTAGTCTTTGAAATTCTGGGGTCAGGAGATCCTCTGCTTCGTCTTTAAGTAGCTGGGACTATAGGTGTCTTGCCATGCCCAGCTTAGTCGGCCTGATTTACATAAATTATTGAGAAGTGTGTGTGTGTGTGTGTGTGTGTGTGTGTGTGTGTGTGTGTGTGTGTGTATGTGAGTGTAGTGTGGTCTAAAATAAATTCAAATGTTGACACAGGGAATATTTCAAATTCCTGGGAGAACAATGGGCTAATGTGGTAACAGTGCTACCATAATTTACTAACTGCTACACAGATGAAAGCTATAGTCCCACCATCCACATTTTTTTAAAAGCTAAAAACCATGTTAAAATTAGAATAGAGACCATTGTTAGAATGTTGGGAAAGGGAGGATTTTCTTCCTGGTGACAGAAAAATTAAACACTTTTCTAGATAAAAGGAGCATAAATAAAGTTACAAAATGATCCCATTATATGCACTAGACAAATGAATAAGATAAAAGAAGTTACTACAAATCATTTTTATGAAGTGGCAATGGATGTGAATGGGCAATCCACAAAGGAAAAATAGTCATTGCTAAAGCTAGAAGTAATTGGGGAAATGCAAATTAAAACAATGAGATATCAACTTTTCATCCATCATACAGGCACAATGATAAAACCGTGGATAGTATTAATCATTGGCTGAGATACATAAAAAGACTTCCTGAAACACAGCCAAGTGTAAATGTGGTTTCCAGGGGCTCCATATCATAATTTCTGTGCTTACTGGGGACAGTCAATGGCAGGCACACAAAGGGACATTCACAAAGAGTGCTTTGTGGTACTGGTGTCTGTAGTAACAGATCATAAATATATCTGTCTACCACCATGAATGGAGTAAGTAAATCAAGGCAAATCCACAACACCCAATATTTTGCTACTGTCCGCATTCACTCAGAAGGTCTTCCAAGTACACTTTGTCAAGGGAAATCTAATCAGCTCTTAGGAGGCTGGGGTTTGGCTCAGTGGGGGAGTGCTTGCCCAGCACCTGATTCTTTGCAATAAAGAAGAAAGGAAGGTGGGAGGGAGAGAGAGGGAGGGATGGAGGGAAGAAGAGAGGCAGGAAGGAAGGAAGGAGAGAGGAGAGGGAAGGAGGGAGAGAGAGCAGCAAAAGCCTAATCCTTAGAACAGAATTTATTGTTCTGGTAAAGCAATGAACCACTTCTTCAATGATTCACTCTAGAATGTGGAATTTCTGTAGAAAACAGTGTGGCTGGGGATGTCACTGAGTTTCCTACTTTGCTTCCTTTCTAGCTGTAAGATTTGATCTTTGATAGTGAGCACTGAGCTACCCGTCAGTTACATGCTAAGAAAGTCACGGAAAGCTTTTGGACTCATGTATATTTTAAATGTATCTTGTGGCTGAGTTCCTTTAGAAGATATAGACATCCCTTTTAAATCTTAGGGAATTGGATGCTGTAAAAGGATAGCCAGAGAAGTTAAATACTATACGCCTTGTAATTCTAAGGCATTCTCTTTAGGCTTAACCATTAAAAACAGGTTTCCAGTGTGTGGGTAGGGGTGGGGGCACGTGATCTCAATGAATATATGAGATGATTTCAAGATAAGTTTGATCTTGCAAACACTTAGATTTGTGCATCTCAACCTGAGGGTCGAAGGACCCGAAAACACAGATATTTACATTGCGATTCATTAACAGTAGCAACATTACTGTTACAAAGTAGCAACGAAAATAACTTTATGGTTGGTGGGTGGTGACCACCACATGAGGAACTGTATTAAAGAGCCATAGCATCAGGGAGGTTGAGAGCTAAACAATTTACAGAATATGGAAATGCGAGGGTCACAGGCTTGACACCCACCGCAGTGAGCACATACATGCTTGCAAGCCATTGGAGGCCACAATCCCATGCTTCTGCCAGGAAGGGGGGAAAGAGACAAGCATCCATACACCATCCATAGCATTCACACAACACACACAGTATCCACACAAACTACATAGCATCCACACAGCATCCACACAATCCACACAGCATCCACACAATCTACACAGCATCCACACAACACCCACAGCATCCACACAACACCCACAGCATCCACACAACACACACAGCATCCACACAATATCCACACAATCTACACAGCATCCATACAATACCCACAGCATCCATACAACACCCACAGCATCCACACAATCTACACAGCATCCACACAACACCCACAGCATCCACACAGCATCTACAACACCCACAGCATCCACACCCCCCCCACAGCCTCCACACAAGCCCCACAGCCTCCACACAAGCCCCACAGCCTCCACACAGCATGGGGCTTCCCTCTAGTGCTACAAGTGCTCACCTTATTTGGGAATGGAAACTTGCTCGGTTCCACTTTGCCAGGAGCTTGAATAGCAGAGAGTGGAGGAAGCCAGGTCATCTCCTAAAGGTGGTTAGGAAAAAAAAAAAAAAAAAAAAAAAAAAAAAAAAACATTTTCAAATAGAGCACTGGACAGCAAAAGCATGCAGTTTTATATGGGTATGCTTCAGAGGGCATTGAAATGACGAGAATGAATAGAGGCTGAAGAGGAATTTTTCAAACAGAGATTTGAAACTCATTTTTGTGAGGTGTTTTCTAGAGTGACCAGTTCTTTACTCCAAGCCTCTCCCCAATGCCTTAAAAAGGGCTGCCCCACTTTCGACATAGAATCAGAGCCCCTGTTAGTACACAAAACACACAGGGCGTTTCTTAAGGTGTGCTTAAGACAGATGGAATCTTAGTGACTTCACTGGGTGAAATGTCTCATCTACTCGAGATAAAGAAGGAATTCCCAACCAGTTCCATAAAATCAACTCTACAAGCCGGTACTAAGACCCCGACTTGAGCTCTGTGAGCAGTAATGTGCGGCATGCTCTTTGACACTTTGCCCGAGCTATGGGATAGGGAGGGGCTGCACTATTCACAGGGTGCTTTCCTTCAGTTTCACCTCCTAGAAGACAGCGGCCGTCAATAACTTATTAAGGGATTAAATTGACTTCTGATGACCATGGGAATCAGGGTAGTTTAAACAGAGGTTCTGAATCCAGTTTTTAATTGGCTATCACTTTCAAACCTAAGCATTCATGAACCACAGCTGGTGTTTTAAAAAGGAAAGTAAGATCTCTGCTCTGTTCGAGGGAGGCTGGGTCCTCTCCGACCGACCGTTGGTACGCACGGCGTTGAGAAAGGATCCTTCAGGGTGTGAGAAATCAAAGGAGGGTCTTGTGGCTTTCTTTCTCTGAGTAACCCTCTTCTATATATAAAACCCCAGGTGGGACAGAATTCACACAAGAGCCAAGGGAGGGTGAGAATTCTAAACAAGCCAGAAAGGATTTAGGGGACCTCCACCATCTCCCAAATGACACGTGCCACAGGCTGGAGAGTTTTCCACGTGTCCCTTTCCCCTTGACCAAGTGGCCCCATTTCCTTATCTCCCCCCACCTCTCCTCTAAGGAGAGTAGGACTTGCCGGGTTTGTATTCAGAGTGGCATCTGACTCCATGCCCAGGATGAAGGATTAGCTCACCAGGACCATGAGTGGGTCACGTGGGGAAGCGATCTCACCTGGATTTTTGCTCCCCAAGTAAGAAAGCTATTAAGACACAAATGGGTTTCCTCCACTTCCTCTAATGCATTATTCCTTCCACTTGGCTCTTCCACACAGTTCAATAGCTCTGTGTTTTTCTTCACAAGTTTTCTTGTTTTTCTTTCTCACTTATATTACTGGATAAAGTGGTGTCAAATCTTTCACAAAGGAAGCTAGTCTTCAATTACAAATACTTGACCTGTCTTTTCCTTTTTCTCCTCTATGAACTGACGTGTCCCTAAAGCCACCCCAATTATTCAGTAGCTTTCTTCGCAATCAGCTTTTTATTCACACAGTTTAGAGTGCGTAATCTTTGGAGATAAATACAATATACACTAATTATTCATGATAAGCATCAGACTTGTGTGTACACTCCAACATGTTCCTGTTAACTTCCTTTCAGTTACTGTATGCTTGAACACTGGCATGTTGTATATGAGTCCTTACAGCTATTCAGAAGTAAGTGACAAAAAGGGTTAATGAACGTAAATGGTTGAACTTTCTTAGGACATGTCCTACAAATAACTTCTCCCAAGCAGTACTTTCAGAAATGAGTTTATTACACAGTTTATCCAAGGCAGAGGTAGCAAACCAGCTTTAAGAAAGCGCTAAGCTGTGATTCCCAGGGGCAGGGATGGCGTCCCCCTGGCGCAGTATCCTGATCCTTGACTGTCCCACTCACTCACTCCCTGGGTAACATTTACTGAGGAGTTCCCGTGGGCGGGCACGGGGCTCAGTTAGTGTGTCAGCCCCAGGCCCAGGCGTCAGACTTGCAAGCCTCCCTGTCCTCATCCCTTCCCACCTCCGCCCCATCTGCCCATCCACACACTCTTCCGTTCATCTTCCATCCTGCATCCCTCCCACACAGCTTGCTGTTCTTGCCTGTACCATACTCCTTTGCGCCCTCAAGGCTTTCCTTCATTAGAGGGCAGCTCCCTCATTCTCTCAACCCCTAAGAGTGCAGTGGCTCCCTCTTCTTCCCTGTCCACCTTTCCTAGACCCCCCCCCCCTTGCTGGCTTTTGAGAACATTCTTGTGGCAGCCCCCAAGCGTTTCACACCATCTTCTTAATGTGATGTGTGTCCACATCTATTATATTGCTCCATACCTCTGGATTTCACTCTCAAAAAAAAGCAAACTTTATTTATTTGTTTTTTAAGTGAGACTCTTGAGTCTTTTGTGTTCAGCCTATTTTCTATTCCCTGGCTAATCCTGTTTCTTACTATGGCTTTAGAAACCATTGATGTATATGCTGCCCAAATATACATCGGGGCAGTCAACTGCCCACTGTAGGTGTCTACTGAGTGCCTTAGTTACTGAGCTCTACAGCCAATTCATACTGTATTTATCACTGATTGCCTCATCCTCAAACTGTTCATCTTCGGTATTTTACATCCTGGGTGAATGCACCAACGTCTCTTAACTATTCCAGACAGGATCCTTGTGATCCTTATGGAATCCTTCCCTTTTATCACTCTAACCCTCTCCCCAAAAAAGCACCATCTAATTAAACACTTAAAATAGAAAATGTTTTATAAGGTTTATTTAGCATAATCTTCTAATAACCCCCAAAGGTAGGAATGATTATTTCCCTAGTGTATTTAAGGTTCGACGCAAGGCCGGGGACCCCAGTGTATCCTGCTGGTCTCACGGAGCTTCTCCCTATCTACAGGGCTGCCTCTCAGACCCTATGGTTCCCCCACTCTCAATGAAGCCTTCAGATGCCAAGCCAAGGTTTGTGGGATATTTATCTCGCACCTAGGAGTGACCGCCTTCTCCATGAGGCCGCATCATGTGCTTGATGGGCTCAGCGGTTAATACCAAGCCTATGCATGCCTAGCTGGAGTATATATTTTCATGGTCTCTGTGTTTCCTTCCTTTATGCTTTCTGAGCTGCCATGAAAATATGCTGTTATTTTATCCTGCTTAATAACTTCCTGTCTTAATCCATTTTTCTATCATAAGTTCTTTTTCCATATGGGTGGCAAGCGGCTAGTCCTGTGGGTAAAGGTAGCCAAGGGTCTTCACGGCTCCAAAAGCCTCATTAGCCACCATCACACACACAACAGATGCACAATGATAGTCGTGTCTTTAACAGTTTCATGACGGCTCCATGCAAGGTGCTCTATTCATGCCCACCCACCTAATGTAACAATGATTTCACATGGGACGTGAGGAAGGTAGAGCTCCAGATTACAACTGGTTCACAAACATCACAGCTCAAGTGTGGCCCTGCGTCTCCTCACTTCCACACCAGGATTTTGTTTTCACTCTAGTGCATTTGCCTTCAGAGCTCTCACCCTCAAACATGAGAGCAGCATTCAGGGACCTGAGCCAGTCACATTTCTCTATCACAGAGCAGGGAGTCTCTCTTTGCTTATGAAGTGCCTGTTTCGCGTGAGTGCCCGTTCCCACACCCCGCCGCAGTTCCCACTATCCACTAAGTGATCCATCTGCCTTTGCTGATACATCCTTTACATCCTTTGTTCCAGTAATCACATGAGAGTTCCTTTCTCAGGCTCTTCTAAAGCATTCACCATTTCTACCTTCAGCCCCCAGGCCCTGTTCTGTGACATACTTCTAAAAGTACGCACCTCAACCTGTGCATAGGCTTCCCCTCCTCTGAGACTCTCCTTCCATGATGAATAAAAAGATCAAACTCGGGAGATACCGATACCTTCCTTCAAGAGCATCCATTCCTACTCAATAGAATTAACAAATGGGAATCCCAATAACCCCTCACGAGGGTGTGTAGGCTAGAGCATTTTACACAGTAGGTGCTCCACAGAAACTCAGTGAGCTGAGTTGAATAACCACATGTCAATGCAAACTTATTTGCTAATATTGATTTAAGTATGGCTAAGCATTTCAATGGGATTTATCTGTCTAACAAATCTTATCAGACACATAAATGAGGATATGGGTGAGTTGCACAAAACACACAAGTATATAATACTTTCAAAAATATGAATTATTATGGCTATTTAAGTAAGTAATGATTGCATAAAATGTGGAGGCTGGAGAAGATGGCTCAGAGGTTAAGAGCACTGGCTGCTCTTCCAGAGGTCATGAGTTCAATTCCCAGCAACCACATGGTGGCCCACAACCATCTATAATGAAGTGCCCTCTTCTGGTATGTAGGCGTGCATGCCGACAGAACACCGCATACATAATAAATAAATAAACAAACAAACAAATCTTTTAAAAATGTTATGTATGTATAATGTGCAATGACTTTATGAGGTAGACTGCATTTTATTGAACTTTCTTACAAGGGTTGTATTAGGAAAATTGGGGCATACAGGCATCTCTATTTCTCTTGGCACTTACGAGCTCAGTAAATCCACAGCTCAACATACCATGGTAATTTCAGGTTTTGGAGTTCAGTATCAATTGGATCTCTGCTTGTGATAGCTTAGAAGGGAATGGAAATATCATTCCCTGAGTCAGGCACAAAGACTAAATGAGATAATGTATGAGATAACACAGCGGAATGCCCCGTATCTAAGCATTCATCGAGGATGTCACTGATTACTATCAACACTGCTCCTGAATTCTTGCCTCTAAAATGAGAGATATACTTTATTTCTGAGTTCTGGTTGTTGGGGGGGGGCCTAAGACATAAGAACAGATACCGATGTGTGTTTGTCTTAACAATATCAAAATAAGGTATCATTCATACATAACCTAGAGTTTCGTTAGCAATTATTCATAAAAAACGATATGTTACTAGAACTGAAGTTATTTAAGAAATTATGATTCCAGAGGATGAATTGCACTTTGCTTTTGGGAAAGGTCCCTAGGTTTTCTGAAATGAAC